TACAACCAGTGATGAACAAGGAACATCCAGTTGACATTAGTTGGTGTGTAGACACAAGTCGCCAAAGGCTAAGGGTCTCCGTCCTCCTCCCCAACTGCGTGGTGACCAGACCCAGGCTTGTCCTGTCTCAGAACCACTCCTAAACAGGGCCAGTCCCAGGTGCACCTTTGAGATAACAATACTATCTCCTAAAATAAACAGCCATTGTTTCTACACAAAGACCTTCAATGTTTCCTCCATCAACAAAAGGCCACAGCCATCCTGCCAAGAAGACAAAGAGCTGGAAGGCCTTTCATAAATATCATGATGGTGGGAGGGGAGGAGTGGAGGCAGGAAAATCATTCTCCAGTACTTTCTGTGTGAAAGAAAAGGACCAACTCCACCCATCAAGGACCATTCTGAATTACTGATCACTCCTGGACTATTCATAATGACAATAATAACGGCTTCCTAATCTGTGAAATGGAAATAATATCTGTCCCTTACAGGACTGCGTCAGGATCAAATGAGGTAATAGGTAAACAAGCTCTTTGTTAAGATTTAAAAGGCTGCGCAACTGATATGGTTGTTATGGGAAGATAGATGGTTCACCCACATTGCCTGCATAAAAAAGATAGCTCTATTTTAGCTGATGAAATTCCAAATAGCTCTGGTATCTCATCCAAGTCCTCAAATAAAGCATAGGGGAGAAGAAATGTGGTCAGTATAGCTGAGCACTGAAGTCTATGAGGGCCTGTCCCGGGCCAAAGTTGGCTATTTTTCCTAGCCCCAGGAACCCAAATCCTGGAAATGAGCTCCCTGGTGGTTGGTCTCTCACCTAGGTTTTAATGGTCCAAATTTTACCCCCATCCCCTCCCTTGTCCCTCTTAAAACATACCTTCCTTTAGCAATTTACACAAACATAGATTTACATAATAAATTAAAGTGTGAGAAAAACAATCCATCCTCACTGGTGATCAAAGACAAATTAAGGCAAATTGTACCATTTTATGCCTATTTAATAATAAAAATTAAAAATGAGAATATCCAATGTTGGTGAGACAGTGAGAAAATTGGTATGATCTCAAAGTATTAGTGGCATAATAAATTTGTGTGATTCCCTACAAAAGCTAAATGACAACATATAACCAAATTCTAAGAAGGTATTCCTATTTTTTGTCCTAGCATCTCCCTCCTTAGCAATTCCCAAGGAAATACTTTAACAGAAATGGCAAAAAGTAGCAAGTATAGATTTACCTACAGTTGGCAAATGTGGAAATAACAAGAGAAATGTTCTAATTAATTGTGATGTGACTATAGTCATTAAAACAAATATCTAAAAACTACTTACAAACATAAGGACATAGTTAAGATATAATTCTAAGTGAAAGGGAACCACACGAGTGGTGCCTGGGTGACCTAGTTGGTTAAGTGGCTGCCTTCAGCTCAGATCCTGAGCAGGTTCTGCCACTCCCTCCCTGCTCAGGCTCTCCTCACTCTCTCTCTGAAATAAATGGATAAAATCTTTAAAAAAAAAAAAAGAAAGAAAAGGAAGAAAGGGAACCATATGATACAAGTAGGTAAAATATGTAAATATATGGATAAAGGCTGGTAACAAATGATAATATCTTTGGTGTTATGTTGATAAATTATAGCTGAATTATATTTCAAAATACTCTTTAATGTTTTCATATCATTTTAGAAATACAGCAATAAAAAGAAAAAAGTAATCAGACAGTAGAATTCAAAATTATGCTTCTACTAATATAGGACACATAGTCACCCTTGCAAAGATGTTGACAGGAGTTAATAAATTTATGTGTAACACCTTTGCATGCAGAGAGACTGTAGTAGACTCTAGTTGAAAGGCTCAAAAATTGAGTCAGGTCAACAGTCACTGTATTGGATTCCTGCTTCTGCCACTGGCTTGCTGCGTGGCCTTGGGCAAGCTATTTGACATATCTAAACCTTTCCTGATTTATAAAATGGAAGTGATAACAGAACCGATATCCTAGAATCATTGTGCATAGTCAATAAGATAAGGTACATAGCATAGTGCTTTTATTTAATAACAGGTTGGTGTGTGTGCTGTTAATAACAATGATGGTGGTAGTTGTAAGGATTAACTGAGGTCTTCCAGAAAAAATGCCCTAACTTAAATCATGCTGTTCAAATGATATTATCCTTATAGGTGAAGCCAGCTACAAGCCAAACGGACCTTGTTTTTAGAGCAGTTTTAGGTTCAAAGCAAAATTGAATGGAAGGTATAGAGATTTCCCTTATACCCTTGCCTCTAGATATGGACAGCCTTCCTCATTATCAAAATCCCCCACCAGAGTAACACATTTACTATAATCGATGAACCTACATTGACACATTATTATTCAAAGTCCACACTTTACATTAGATGTTGTATATTACATGGGTTTGGACAAATGTATAATGACATGTATCTACCATAATATTGTCATATAGAGTAGTTCCACTGTCTTAAAAATTCTCCACACACCACCTACTCATCTCCCTCTCCTCCCAGATCCCTGGCAACCACGGATCCTTTTACTCTGCATAGTTTTGCCTTCCTCAAAACATACATGCAATATGTAGTCCTTTCAGATTTGCTTCTTTCTTTTTTTTTTAAGTAATTTTAAAAAAGATTTTATTTATGTATTTGACAAGGAGAGAGACAGCAAGAGAGGGAACACAAGCAGGGGGAGTGGGAGAGGGAGAAGAAGGCTTCCTGTGAAGCAGGAAGCCCGGGGGTTTGATCCCAGGACCCTGGGATCATGACCTGAGCCAAAGGCAGATGCTTAATGACTGAGCCACCCAGGCACCCCCTGATTTGCTTCTTTCTTGAAAGGTATTTTTTATTACCAGTCTAGAGGACCAAATAAGTATTTAAAATTCTACTAGGTAATACAAAGATAATCACTATCAGTGATTGTGTTAGATTATTTATATATGTTATCTCCATAAGTTAGGTACTAGTCTCTTTGTTCTACCCAAGGAAGTGCCCAAAGTCACAAAACCAGTAAGCGGAAGACCTGGTATCTGTATCTAGTTTGTCTGACTCCAGTGTTTATATCTTTCCATTATGCCAATGTGTTTACCCTGATTCCAAATGTGGGTCCTAGAGGATCTGAACCCTGTCATAGGAACTGACAGGGAAAAGCATACTGATAAAGATGCATAGCCAACTACATGTCATTAAAGCTCTTAGAAGACAGCCTCCTGATAGAACCACACAACAGCCACCATATTTTATGTCAGATTTTATGGCTAGGACTTGCATCCCTATCATTAGGCAGGAGAGCTAAGCACACAGAGTAGGAAAATTATAAGGGTCTAGTTCAGTGTTTCTTAACCTTTTTTGGCACTATCCCTCAACTCGAGGGCATTTTTAGACATTTTCTTCCTAATCACCCCTTACCCCAGTTAAATTTTAATAGCACATAAATACTACATTTATTTATGTACTGTGGCCTTTTCCAGGGCCAAAAACTTTTGCAATATCTAAGTTTTTTTTTTCTTCTTCTTTCTTCCTTTCTTTTTTTTCCCTCCAAGAAACTATTTCTACCACCTCAGGGGTATATCATTCCCACTGAGAATATATAGTCTAGTTGCAGATGGTCAGAGCTCAGGGAGGCTGACGGGGAACTGACAGGAAGGTGAGGTCAGGACCTTGGAGAGTGCCAAAGTAGCCCCACTGAGGCCAGATCCAAGGCTCATGATTGCCTCTAGTTTTGCCTGAAAGAAGAAAGAGGCCTGGAAGAGGATGGAGGCTAGAAAGTTAGTAACAGTACTCTTTTACTACATGTTGGAAGTATCAAAATGTAAAGGCCTTCATAGCCCTAGGCACACGCTGGTCTCCCTTCCCAGGAACTTCCCTTCTTTTCACCTTCCTTTCAAGGAACTAAATCCTCCTCATCTTTCAGCTTCCAGTCCAGATATCACTTCTTCTGCTGTCCTCATAGATCCCCCAAATCTGAATACAACTGAATTGCATCACGAACTCTGTACTGGTCGTATGCCCCTGGAGTATTTCATCCAGTACTAGGCCTCATATAGGGAGACCCTTCATATAGGGAGAGCATCGGGTCTGGAGACCAGGGTAGTGACCATTATGAAGTATTTTTTACCATATGCCTATTTATTTACTGGTACTAGTTACTCTTTACTGGGGTAATGACTTCATGAACATTATCTTATATGAACCTCATATAATCCTATTGGATTGGATAGGTATAGATCAAGAAACTGAAACTCACAGAAATTAAACAACTTGCTCAAGTTTCCTCAACTGGTGAATGGTAGGTAGAGCCTGGTGTTTGTACCCAAGTTTGTAAATTCGGAGCCTATACCTCCAATCTATAATTCTTTGACTCTATCCTTCCATGGTGCACTTGTTTTATCCTTTCACTTAGTCCTCTCAACTTAGACACCAAACCTTTCCAGTTTGTGTCCATAGCTAGAACTTTAAATAAGCTTCCTTCAATGTCTGGAACATGGTGGTCTCTCATACAGGAGAGTCTGAGCTGCATTGACCACAACTACACTGCTTACATCTTTAGCCCTTTTATTAGGCATCTGAGCTCTAAGGTCTGCTGAACCTTTCTCCTTCTGCCTTTAAAGAAATGGGGATCTGACCTAGCATAATAACCACTGAAACCTACCAAACTGTTTTTCGTTCCAAATAGAAAGGAATGGTTTTCCACTTTCTACAGAAAGGTAAAAACTTCCACTTGCCAACAGAATGTGGTGGCTGCTGAGTTGGTGTCAGGAACATGAACTTAAAAACTGTATTTCCCTTGTAACTCTTGACAAAGTAACTGACTGCTTCCTAACAACCTGCCTTCTTCTCCTGAACCCATTGACAAGTTCCTTTTAATCAAAATATCTTAAACTGAAAAGGTAATCAATGCCAGGATACAGCCTGCTCACACAGACAGATGCTGTCTCCACAGGCATTGCTGCACAAGTGTGTACACAGGTGTTGTCTCACAGACGCAGGTGTTACTCACAAAGACAGATGTCCACCAGGAACATGATGTATACTAGCAGCTCCCTGAGGGTGGTCTTGACATAAAGCTCCCGGTTCTCAGCTGTGTTCTCAGTCAGGGTTGTTCCCCAAAGTCCTAAGGGACATGGGAGAGATGCCTAGGATCGCAAGCAGCAGGGTTCCTCCCAGGTGCCCGACCCACTGGTCCCTGGATTTTATTCCCATTTCTACCCTGGCCCTTGGCTCACACATCACCTTGTATCTTGGCTGAATTTGGCTTCTCTAACCACACTCAAGCCTGGCCTCCATCAAACACCCCGGGGGGAGTGGAAAAGACACTGGGTAGCAGAGAATGAAGACATGGAAAGGAGGTCCTTGTTTCAGGTGGGGCAGTCTAAGGGATCACCACAAACATGTCCTCCCTCAAGCTAAGTCCCACCATACCATTCTGGGCCCCCAGAGAGGACTGTACCAGGCTCCCCCTCTAAGAGACCACTACACTGGCCTCTGTGTTCTGGGGACTTCAGTTCTAACAGACAATTCATAAAGCCCAAAGAGACTGAGATCCACCTCTTCTTCAGGTCACATCTCCTGCCACAAGGGTTTGGGACTCCTTCCCCAACTCCTGTATCCCAGGAGGGAGATCCCTCCTCCCACCAGGTACCTCTGATGCCACGACAGATCTGGAAGCAGCAGCTGGATATCAGGGTCCTATATGCCTTCTCCTGGGGTCCATCTTCAGGCTTTTTGGGTTGGGACTGGGGGGGCACCGCACTGGAGATGGTGCAGATCCTCATTGTCCCATGTGGGGATGGGGGACCACTGTAGGCAGGGTTGTCCCAGGCTCCACTCCCCATCTTTTGGAGCTCTTGCCCCTCCGGACTTTCCACAGCATTCATGGGGAATGAGGTAGGGGGCCTGGCACCTCAGGAATCCACTGTCACCTGAAGAAAGAAGGAGCAAAGACACAGCCCATTCTAGCCAGCGGAAGGCAAAGGAGCTTGAGAGCAGCTGGTCTCAGGAAGACTCTGCTTCCTGCCTTTTGTAGAGGGCATCTGCACCTCCTGGGGGGAGGGGGAAGAGAGGAGAGGGTGGGGAATGGCTATCAGTCTTGTCAGGGGCTCGAGCTCTCTCTCTTCCTCTAGCTTCAAGAAATGGGCTGGGAGGGAGCTGTGAGGCAGGGCTTTGGCAGGTGAAAGAGACAACTGGGAGGGAGATGTGGAGACTGGGGTGGAAGGAAGGAGGGGTGAGAGAGGCCAGTACTGGAGGAAGAGGATGCTTGCTTCCAGAAGAGGCCTGGTGGGGGGTCGTCCCAGTCAGAAGAGGAGATGAAAGAGCAGTGGGAGGTGCTGGCAGACTCCTAGGCAGGTCTGGGCTAATTTCCACTAAAAGCTCCTGAAAGGGCCGACATGGATTGGGCTGCAGACCAAGGCTGGGGGAAGGAAACTAGAAAATGCTGCCTCTTTTCCAGGCTCCTTCAATGGCATCTGAGGCTCCTTTAATGTCTCACCTTGAGCTGTCCCCTGGTAGGGTGGAGAAGGGGGGCTCCCCTCCCTCACTCCACCCCTACACCTGGGGAAAAGCTAGTAGCAGGAGGAGCCTCTGTTTTAGACACTTAAGGGTCAGGGTCTCCGACTGCTGTTGAGGTGGGGGTGGGCAGTGAGGGGGGCACTTCGGACTTCCAGATTATCTGTATCCTTCTGAGGTCTGTCCTCATATGGCTTATGAGGGAACTACACTGACAGGAAGGTATTCCTTAAGGGTGTGGGGCACAGCCTAGGGAAGGGCCTAAACCCTGACTGGGAGAATGCATCAGAGAGCAAAGGGCAAGGACAGTGTGCCTTGGGACTCCTGAAAAGGAGTGGATGTCTGGACCCAGCTTAGCTGACAATTTTATCTTAGGGCTCTTAGTACTAGACTGAGGACTCTTAAGCATGAGCACAAGATGGAACTCTCAGAGGTATCTGAGCTGATTTGCTTTCTTTTCAATCTCAGGTGTATGTAACCCCAGCACGACCCTACCTAGGCCCTGCTCCGGCCTCTGATCCCTTGCCCTAGCTCAGCTACAGGCATGTGCTGTGGCCCAAAATGGCACTGGCCTCACAGGTGCAGGGGGTTACCCCCTCCTCCCAGATGGCTGCAGTGGGTGTTGCCCTCTCTCCCCCCCGGCTGCTTCCCCATCTAGGCCACTCTAGTGTCCCACTCAACTGAAGCCCACCTCCCCCTCAGTAAAATACCAGCCCAGTGGAAGTCACCAGTCCTGTGTGGTCCCCCTAAAGAGATCCTGATCCCAGACAACCCAACGCTGGCCTCAGGTCCTTGGAAAATAGGTGCTCTCCTACCCCCAAGAAAGGGTTGGAGAAGCAGCAGCTCTCTTACCCCAGGCCCAGATACTGTTAGGGACCTAACGCTGTCTGGGCTAGAGTTCAGGCCTCCCTGGGAGCTTCTCTGGATGGAAGAGCTTCGTCTCTATCTTTTGGCAGCAAATAGACATTGCAAGATGCTTGTTTTCTTTGGGAAGATGAAAGACCATTTTGTGTGAAATCAGCAGATGGTGAACGAACAGGAGCTGCTCTCTCTCACCCACAAGGCTTTCAAACAATTACAAAAGGACCCTTGGCTTGAAAAACTGAACATTAGGACAGAGGTAATGAACAGGAAGCTAGCAGTATAGGTCAAAGAAGTGACGAGAGGAACAGGAGATGGTTTCTGATTCCTTGGGAGATAATTTTATATTCTGAGAGAGAGAGGCTTGTGATCAACAAGAGTTTGGATGGACTCAAAGAAGTTCATCATGTGACAGGACCCACACCCTTGTGACCTTAAGGCCAGAGCTGGACTGCTTTACTCCCGGTCACTCACCCAGGAAGCATTATTCTTCCCTGCTCAGTCTTGAGCCTACCCTACGTGTGTGGATTAACCCACTAATACCCTGGGGGAGCACAGGTTATACAACAAGCTTGAGAAATTTTCTCAAAAGATGCTGGGCATTCCTGGGTGGTTTAGTCTTACTCAGGAAGTCCTAAGTATGGTAATCTATGGCACTTGGTTTTTCTTGAATGCCCCAATGTTTTAGCAAAACCCAAGAGTCTTGACCTTGAAACCCACACTCCCAGTTTAAGTCTTGGTTCTGTAACTGTATAGTTCTGGGCATGTCCCTTTGAGACTTAGTTTCTGTATCTACAAAGTGTTTGTATTCAAGCCTGCCCTGCTGACCTGCAGGACTATTTTAGGAGTAATATAGTAGATACAGAAATCGTTACAAACTGTGTGCTATAAAGCACAAAATAAATTCAGTTATCTTACCGTAGCATCCATCCCTATGAACTCTGCTCAGTCACAGCAATTCATGCTTCAGGGAGATAGCTTTGGTCAGGACTCTGTTGTTATTACCTCTGAGAGACAAGGGTCCCAGAATGCTCTGTGTCCACCCCCATTCCACTCCAGCTGACATCAGCAGTGTGGAAGGATGGCATTTCACCTGAAGGCTATTGTAACAGTAATCTGGAGAGAAAGTAGCTCTTAAAAGAGTTTCCTGAGCACATGGCAAGTCTTGCCGTCCATCAGAACCCAATATACTTCTTCATCATGTTGCCTCTTAGCCCACTTGGTGAATTGGCCCCATTGCTTCACTGGGATACATTTTTTGGTGGCGTGCTATTCTATTGCACATGCCAGGAAAAGGATTACTACATTTCTGCCCCCAGTACACTCCTTCTTCACGCCATAGTCATCCTAGCCAGGCTTTTAGTGCTACTCAGATCCATTAGGTCCTGACAAAGAGCCCAGAAACAGCAAAGGGCGTAGGATGGAAACTTGTGGCTCATTTTTCCATCAGTTCTCTATGTAAATTTCCCCAGGTTAAGCCACCTTCCACATTCTAGAAAGAGGAACCCTGGAGTGACTTGCAGTCCATTTTCTACAGGGAGAAGCTTCAAATGACCTTCTGTGTTTCACATAGTGACCCTCAACATTTTCCACCCCAATAAACATAATAGAGCATACTCCATAAACAACAGGGGCTCACAATGGCCATGATTCTCGATGGAAGACAATGGTGATCTTTTATCTGTAAGAAAACCCTGCACAGAAAGTCTTACCCTTCACTAATATACCACCACCGGTCATCTGTGTGGCAAAAACACCGAAATTTGGGGCGCCTGGGTGGCTCAGTGTGTTAAAGCCTCTGCCTTTGGCTCAGGTCATGATCCCAGGGTCTTGGGGTCCAGCCCTGCATCGGGCTCTCTGCTCAGCAGGGAGCCTGCTTCCTCCTCTCTCTCTCTGTCTGCCTCTCCCCCTACTTGAGATCTCTGTCTGTCAAATAAATAAATAAAATCTTAAAAAAAAAACCACACCAAAATTTGAGTAGCTGAAGTTTTTAGCAACAAACACTGTGGACCAAGCAAACTGACATGAGAAGGCTAATCCCAAGGGAGTTCCCCCTCCCTGTTTCTGTACAGCGACATCCCAGCCTGGTGCCAGGGGCCACCACAAGCCACAGCTCCTTAGAACAGACAAACCACATCCATTGGGAGATTTGGATGTATGAAGTCCTGTTGCAGCTGTCCCCACCCAGAAAGCTGAGAAAATAGCATTTTGTTATATTTCATGGGACCTCACAGAGAAGGTTGAGGAAACCCACTTCCCTCATCAACACGACCCACTTCAGTCTTTTACTTCCTTCCTACTGCCTCCTGGATTTAACCAGTCCTGCTGGAATACATTTTTGCATCTTCCATCTCTCCAAAGAGAACCTTTTTAAATGGGCCCTTCAGCTTTCCTCCCATTTCTAGAGAACCCTCCTGGACAGCAATTCCTGTTTGCCCATGCCTTCTGCAGAGGATTGGACAGGTAGAGGGAACCCACCAAACCCACCCAGGTAGTGAGAGACAGATGATATCATCTACAAAAATAAGGAAGTTAGTCTGCAATTGCCCAGAAGCTTGGGTCTGAGGCCATGATCATGCTGAGCACAGTCAGGACATGGAGGGCCCACACAGTCCTGAAGTAATCAGTCAGCATTATCACCCCCGGGCAGAGCTCTTGCTGTGGCCGGCAGGGTTCTGTACAGGATGGTGAGTGTCAGCCCGGCCTCCTGCCGCAGAGGGTGGAGTGGGTGACAAAAGAGCTCCCTGTGAATTGGAGACACCAGGCTAGAAAGTAAGGGGGGGGAGGTGGAGGGGAAAGGCATAAGAGAGAAGAGGGATTATGGGGAAGAGGACCTGAGAGAACACAGTTCTTTCCTTCAGAGCAACTCACCAAATTTCACAAGAGACTTGGCTGACTGAATGTCCCAAGCTTGTGAGGAGGGGAGACTGGAGCACCCGGGCAAACCTCCCAGGTGCTCACCCTTCCAGCATCATTTCAGGGTCTCAGGGCAATCACCCAACACACACACACACACACACACACACACACACACACACACACACACCCTTGTCCCAGTTTCTGAGGGTCCCATCACAGGGGACACATATTTTTGCATTCTGAGTCCTCATTGCAGTCATAATTCATTCCACGAGTATTTGCTGAGTGCTGACTAGACGAAGGGACTCTGGGATAAGCAGCAAATAAGATCAGGGCCTCTGTCTCATAGAACATGCATCCTGGTAGAGAAGATAGCCATTAAACAAATACACGGATAATTTATGAATTTTAATCATAAAAAGTGCTACACGGGAGAAATGCAGGGAGCTATGAGGCAATGCAGCAGGATACGCAAAGTTGTAAGGCAAATGAAGAATAGAATTATGATTTCTACCTCTCATCCCCCTTCTTGGCCCTGCAGCAAACAGTGTTTTCTGAGATTCAGAAATGTGTTACTGCTACTTTGTACAAGGAAACAGACTGAGTTAAATGACCAAACAAAAAAAAAGTTATAACAATGCAACAATGCAAG